AGCTTAGAAATGTCCTTAGGTCTCTGAGCAGCTGCTAATTCTTCTATCAGATTTCTTTGTGCTTCAATTCTGCTCCTCTAAGATACAGATACCATCAAAATGTCTATTGCCAAAGGGTGAGAAGAACTACTACGATAATGGGTGAAGAGTAGCCTGTCAAGGCTAAGATAAGATAAATTTCTTGAATAAACCAATACATGTACTCAGCAGCACCAACGTGCAGGAGCCTTGCTGTCTGGCACTTACAACTATCCTGAATAATCCTTCAAAGTAAGGATTTACAAGCTTTCAGTTATTAATGACTTAGTCATGGACCACTGTTTCAACTACTTTTATACTTAGCTTGTCAAGAATACGATAAGCTCTTTCCTGTATATACCAGTATTGTACACTTGGAATTCCTTCCTTTGCTTTTAGGTCACAGTGAAAAGAAAGATTCCTACTATTCCGTAAGGCTAATATTTAGCCTTGCGTTTTTATTCCAAACCCCAAGCTTTTGATGACACATCTAAGGTTCCGTGCAGGAACGATTTATTTATTTATTTATTTATTTTAAGCAAGCGCTTAAAAGGAAGTGCTCATCACGGAATGATGAACCCTTGAAAGATCACAGCAGTGGGCTTGCTGGCTTTTTACTTTTAACAAGTTCAAAGTGGGCTGGGATAAAACTAAAAAAAAAATAAATTGCATTAAATTTTAAATTAAAAATTTAAATATTGCAGAAAGAGCAGTTACTTAATCAACAGTAACTGCAGGTCTGTCTCCAAGATGCTGTAATGATTGTAGACTCCACAGTGTGTAAGACAGCAGATGTTTTGGATACTGCTCCCTGTTCTCCTATTTGAGGATGTAAATGCCCAAATGGTAACCACTGTCTCTTAAACCTTCTCCCGACTTGAAGCCATCATCCATGCATGTTGTGGTAGCCCTACCAAGTACAACTGTCTCAAAGAATTAGTGTTTTTAATTGTTCATTCTTCTTATAACCCATATTAGTGTCACTGCAAGGTAAACAGCAACCGCCTTAGGATAGGGGCAAAGATGATTTTCAACTTCATCAAAAAGTAATTGGAGCACAGCTATCCTTAAAATTGGTATCTAACCTAACAGCAAAGTGTAAGGTACAATAATTGACAAGGATCTGCAGATTGCTGCCTTGAAGGTTTTCTATATTAGCACATTCCTGAAGTAGAAGTGGGATAGTGCTTGTGTCCTAGCAGGAGGAACGTGCAGGTTCATACTAGACAGCTGGTAGCACAGCCAGATACAACTGCTCTCCAACGCAGTGCTTGTTGTAGGGGATGGCTTGACCTTTGCAGGGCCTGACTGTGGCCAGAAAGACGACTTGAATCATTTGGTCTTGTCAGTACAATGAAGCAAAGTGCGAGGTACATCTGTTACATGCAGTTTTTGTTCTCTAGATATTAACCATAACTCAGGAGGATAAAACACACCCAAGAAAGATAATTAGGCTGTTAAGGTAAAAGGGATCTGAGACCACTTTAGCAAAGAATTGTGGTCCGACCACAAGCCTCGCAAAATTTTAGATTTTGAGAGTTCTTTACTGTGGTTAGTTCACATTGCTTGCCCTCCAAAATGTATTTCTTTGTTTTATTGAAGGAGTGAAGGAAGCTTAGAAGTGGGGAAAAAAGTATTCAGAGATCTGTCTGCAAAGTGGTTACAGCTACAGGCCGTATGTAAGACAGCAACTTACTCTGTTCAAAAGGCCCCTGTAAAAATACGGCGTAGACGGGTATTCAAAGGAGTGGGAAGGACCTGAAGACAGTAACTTTTTGAGTTCCATGCCAGTAACAAAAGCTTCTGTAAAGGATGATCCCCAATCCTGGACTCCTTAATCAAGTGAGAAGAGGGCTATAGGATCCAAATCACAGTGACACCAGGTGTTGTGAAGGGGAGAAGGTCCATGCTGCCAGCAAGCAGACAGAGCTGCACTCTTCTGAGTGTCCTGCTTGGAGGCTTTCTGCCAGGACACCTCCTCCACAGTCAGACTGCCCTGGAGAACCACATCATGCAGTGTTCTCTGATCCCATACATCTCCCTCTGCATTGACTCAAAAGTTTTGTGTAGTCTTCTTTCCTTGCTAAGCAGAACTAATGGAGAAAGTGATGAAAAGCTGGAGCTATTTCCTTCTGATTAAGAAATATTCTACCTATTACTATCAAGTGTAGAGCACCCAGAGACAGTAGGTTCTCTTTGACTCTGCCTATTAAGTGTGAGCTTAGACAACCCATCACTGGAACATTAAAGGTACACAGGCCATAAATAGGGGAAGGAAACTGATGTGACTAGGCCTGACACAGTCTATCACAGCTTTTATAATGCAGTTTGGACAAGATAATGTGACTAACCTACTTAGCCCATCAGTCTCCTGTTTTCACTCCCTTTCCTCCTTCTTGTACTCCCTTTCATTGCCTTTAGAATGGTGTAGAGGCAGTTTTTCTTCCTGGCTTGAGACTGACCATAGCTATTAGTTCAGGAAACAGTCTCACAGAAAGCTTCTAGGGAGATTTCCAGGTAATTCAAAGCTAGCTAGAAACCAAGAAGCAATTTTCTGTGCGTATTGGGAAGCCATTGTAGAGGCTGGAAGAATTTAGCGTATTGCTAATTAATGCAGCCATCCTTGTTGGCACCTTCTTCTAAGGGCTGGTCACTGGCGGTAGAAATGGCCCAACTGAAATTACAGCAAACAGGGCTATCTTATCAGCCAAAGTGGTTTCTGTCTTTGAAGTTCATTTTGCACTTCTTACAGGGTAGATGAGAGTTCAGGATTCAGTTTGGTTGGCAACCCCAGAGAAGGATCACTATCAAAGCGTTTAGGACAAAGCCCTTAATCCTGCTTAATTACTAAGAGTTACTGGAGAGACAAAAGACCACAGGATCACAGTCAGATGAACGAACACCTTGTATATTCTCACCTGAACTTCCTAAGAATGTGCCCTCTACACAAGCAAGGCATCCCTAATGCATACCCAAGAATATCATTAAATTGACACTTTTGTTCAGCAGCCACTTGTACCGTTTTCTTCAATGAATAAACAAATCCCATTTCTTACACGTACATCTTCACAGTCAATGTCACCTTTGATTCTTCTACCACTGCTATGATTGCTATTGAAGAACATTACAAATCACCACTCAAACACAGTTTCTTGCATTATTTGTCTCTATTCATGAAAGCAAGTAGATTCACATTTCTGTTAAAATCAGGTAAACTCATAAAATAACTCACTGTATTTATATTTTCTTAAAGCTTTGCATGATCAGAAGTTCAGAGACATAGACTGAGATTGTTAAATACACTTCTTGCTATAAAGAAATATGGCAAGGTTTTCTCAGTTACATCACTGACTTGCCAAGGGATACTTCATCTCCCAGTATCCACATAACGGGAGCATTGGAGGCTTTGTCAGGAAAATCCAAATCATGAAATCATTAATCTGAAAAACTCAGCTTTAATTTGGACATAGTAGCCATAAAACTCTTTTAATAATACTAAATGTTGACTAAACCTGGACACCAAGTTGTATTACATGGAACTGTACTTCCTTGTGAAGGTACAATACTATGTAGAATCATAATCAGATCCTAGTATGCTAAATTCCACTTTTTTTCATAGTTAAGTTCAGAGATAAATCAAACCTTTGAGGTTTGATTCACTCAAAGTGAGTCACTCTCTAACCAGCCTCTTTACATTTTTATGGAAGATTAAAAATTACAGACTCATTCTGATAGTCTCATTAAGTACAGCTCTACTACTAATGTGAGAGTGTCTCAAACTCAACGCTATAATTTAGTTACAATTCACATGAAGATGAGCAAATGTTGCCATATTTGTACTAGAACTGAGGCCATCAAATGTCTCCCCTCTCTTCTTCCAAATTAAAAACTGTCAACTCATTTGTTCCTTGCCATTTTAAAATAATGAATTGTATAAAGAATTCATTGAAAAGTGAGACAATGGTTTTACATTTCAATTATATTTAACTCTCATGCAAAAATACAAAAAAAAAATCTAGTTCCCTTTCTAGTTACATGATTGGTAAACAGTCAGTTTTTGCAGCATCACCAAAGGAAGTAAGAAGCCAAGAAAATATTTGGTACAAAATATATATCCTTCGAGCTATCTTTAACTGACAATGAAAGCTGAAATATTATACATACTAACCTAAGTTCTAATCAATAAGTGAATGATTTCCAGAATCTATGCTCTATCACCCTGAAGAAATGAAGTGTTCCAATATATTGCTTTCTAAAAGAAAAAGTGCTATTATTGTTCCAATAAATAATTATATATGGCTGGTTAATTCTTCAGAGACAGCATCAGACTGAATGATTTTGAAGAGCGTGTGCAGACTGTTTAAAACACTACTGTAGCTCAGCACCACTGTTTTCACTGACAAGCAAAATGCACCAGATGGTAAGTGATGCTGCAGCCTCCTGAAATCCCAAAATAAGACTAGAATAAATTTTATAGTTAGTACAAAAGGGAGCAATGCAGAAGCAGCAACCACCAGGTTTATGTTTTATATTACTTAGGCAGCCAAATTAAGTAATCGCCACTGTCAGTGTAAGAAATAGACCCCTGTGTGATTGGAGGATGGCAGAATACATGAGCTTTTCAGAAAGTTTAAGATGTGTTCAAGTTTGAAGTTTCCTATCTCTTTTTCAGACCATGGACAAACAGTTCATGGTTCTTACAGTGACCTGCCCCATCAAAGGTTATTTAGTTTTGGACATACACAGAAAGAATTTCGTAGTTTAAAAGAAATCCTAAAGCTATAATTAAAAAAAAAAAATAATCTTGAAGCCCTTACAGGGGAAACTAGGGACACTTGAATTGCCTGTGAGGGCCATATCAAAAGCACATGGTGACAGCAGAAGTTTAAAATCAGGTTTTGGCACTCATGACCGAGATTGTCAATTGTTTCAGGCTTCTTTATCCTTGTAAATCATTACCAAATTCATGCATTTCCTCCTTTGAGAAGTTTCTCAGTGCTTCACAAACACTGCCCCGTGTTCCTTTTGAGTCAGCATAGCTTTGCCACCTGGTCTGTTTGGGCATGATCCCATCAACACGATCCTTGCAAAAGGCAGAAGCAGGATTATCAATCTCTAGCAGAATCTTCCTTTTTATACTAAAACGTGAAAGGAACTATGAACAGGGGATTTCTCATCTCAGAATCTCAGGGAAATGGGTAGCCTTTGGTTTGGTGATCTGTAGCCAATAATGAATCAGTGGATGTAGATCTTTATCCAGAATTAAAGTTGGTTAACAACCTTTATTGTAAGGAAAAAGAACATTATCTGCTCCTTCAGCAAAGTTCACTCATCATTTGGTAGAGATGGACTTTCTCCTCTTAGCTAAGATTAGCACTATCACCTTGTAAAGTAACTTTAGACTTGGTGTAATTCAGTAAGGGTCATGAAGACAGTGTTCTCCCAGAGCAAGAAACACTTAAGCCTCTGTATTAGCCTGTAATCCAAAGCTTCAGTAACAGGATGGAATTCTGGCAAGTGAATTATTCCATGATCACAAATTAGATATTTTATGCTTACCCAAGCTCACTGTAATGATGCTATGAAAAACCAGCAGCAGTATGAACAGAATCAATACAATCAGACACACGAGAGTATCAAAGGTTATGTGCAGCTATCTGAAGTAACAGGAGTGTGACAGAATAGGTTGAAATATTATTGCCTTTGCCACTCTGAAAATGCTTGTGCTACTTTAGTGACACAACATATTCACAGTCACGGCAAAACTCAGCCAAATAAAAAAAAATAAAAAGGTTACTTAAATGTATTTCAAACCATCATAAACTACTTTGATATTTCATGCGAGAAAAAGTTGATGTTGTGAAAGTATGTAAGAATATAGGTTCTTTGATTATTATGCAAATCACCACGCATAAAGAAAAATATTCATTCTTCATCCTTGAACATTCCCTGAAGTTTTGCACTCAATTTGTTTGTCTACATGATTTAAATCATAAGAGCAATTCTTTGCTTTTAGAAAAGGTGAGGGATGGGAGAGTGTTTTACGTATCACCAGCATACACACAGATCCAGGCACTGATGCACCTTCCTTCCCACACCCAACAACTCTGCACCCTCACTTGGCAAGGCTTGGCACGAACAAAGCCTTCAACCAGTTACTGTAGTGAGAGAACCTCTCAGTTGCCACTGCTCTCTTCTCTGTTGGGCAATGCAAGGAGGGAAGTTGTGAAAGAGCATGATGGGTCCCGCGCCTCATCTCTGCCTATGTCCTCTCCTGCCTGTGAGACAAACGTCAGTGACTGTAAGCCATTGGTTTACAACATGTAAATTAAATAGTGAATCTCACAAGTCTGGGAAAAAACCTGTGTTCAGATGAACATATTATATTAGAAAGGGATTTAAAATAATTTTTCTAAAATCTATCCCGGAATATAGGGAGTCTGGGATTTGGGGAATGTAGTGAAGTATGGTTTGATTTTTATGAACTGCTCAAAGACAAAATTGCGTGGATCCAGAACATTTGTTAGGACTCGACTTAAATGCATCCAAAACAGAGTATAAAGCAAAGAAATTATGAATGGCATGTTCTAACCTAGGTATATTGTGACACACTCCTAAAAGAATTCTTACACAACCAAACATGAAAGAAGATGTGACAGTTCAAAGAAAGACAGCGACTTTGCTTTGAAGTAGGCGAAAAGTATTCACAGAGCCAAAGCTGTGACAGACAAACTCTGGCGACTCATCCGGGAGTGTTTTACAATGCTATTACCCCCAATTAGTCATCTCTAAGCAGCTACAGAGCTGTATTCATGTCAATCACATTAGCTTAGATGCCAGTTTTGAACTGCACTGACAGAGTCTTGGACAAATATTCCTTTGTAATATCTTTGGGGATGCTAACTTCCAGCCCTGAGACAGGACAAACAGCTCTGGAAAGGAAACATCTCAGCAGATGGCCATAGCTGTTTGCTTCGGTGCACATCAGTCAGCAGCTTCAGCACAGCTCCTCAGACTGCCTCGCAGCTACCACCTCCCAGGTGCTAATTAGCATCTCATGCCAGATCCGATACGTGACTGCTAACGTTACGGATAAACTTGATGTGCAGTAACGTATCCTTCGTGATGTGTTAGTCTGAGATCATAACCATAAAATGCATCCCTGAAATGCTTTAAATATGGTTTTAAAAGACTCCAAAATCTAGGTGCTGCTGAACAAAATCGTTGTTTGTTCTGTCAAAATTCATGGGATTTCTTTCTTCTGCTGAGGCTTACAGGTTGCAGAGTTGAATCTGAAAGAGTCTGCAAGAAAGGTGTCCCCAAATTACCCTTGTTTTCTACATGGCAACTTCAGTGCGCTGTTCATAATTGTCTTTCTGGACCAATTAGTGACAAAGTGTGCTAGGTTAGTCCGATATTCAACATGAATGGGTAATTCAGGGTTCTCTCAGAAAGGAGCTGTCTCTCCACACTACTCTAAAAGGTCTTCCTTCTTGAAAGTTTGAGTCATGGCTGTCTCCTCACTAATCTTCTAAGGATGCTTCCAAGCCCAAATTTCTCACAGTACTAAGGCTAGATTACACAAGCATTACCTGATCACATATATTTCTTTACATGCTGACAATCGAATTATTTTTCTCAGCAACTTTAAACTGAAATAATTAGATGGCCTGTCAAGTAAATATTTTTTTTTCATTCATCTTCTACTGGGCATCTACCTGGGTCATGCAAATCAGGAAGGATGAAATTTTTTGAAAGCAGGTGATTATGTTCTCCAGATTTCTTCCCCAGCTATCAACACGAGGAACTAAACATGCATAACAATACACTGCAGTGTCTTTGACAGCCCAAAGCAGGCTCAAGTAAATCTGAAAAGCTACTTCTTGCTACGTTAATAAGTAATTAAGCCCCCAGGCTTGTAGATATCGATTTTCATATGTGCTTTTCACAAGAATTTCAGTGCCAGAAACTTGTGGGTTGAAATATTTCATCTCATTTGCACTAGTAGTATTATGCAGATAATTTGCATTTTGGGTATTTTGAATTACTGTCTGGTTTTAACTGTTTTCATAATAGTGAAAATATTTGATGATAGATCAAATCTACAGATTCTTAGGAATAGATCACATAATATCCAAGAAATACTTTCTAGTACTTTGAGGAAATTAAGATCATGTAGCAATTTTCATGGTGTATTCATGATAGAACTTGAAGCACTATTTTAGCTTATAATATATAGCAAATACACATAAATCAATGCATATTCATCTCAGTTGAACTGAAAACATACTGAACAAAGCAATCACTGAGTGTTTCTGTGTATACTGAATGAGGAATATACTGTCAAATCAGCTCCACAACTGAACAGAAAATGGAGGTTGCTATGGTTTCCTGACTCTCCTTCTAAGTGGAAACATCTAGTCAAATGGAACAGTGAAAACCCAACAAAGTAATTCTGTTTGAAAGAAAGAATAAAATAATTTACAGAAAGGGAGCACAAAAATATCAGGTGTCAAATGCAGGTCAAAAACAAAATTAAAAATTGTCATTCTAAGAACTGCTAATGTCTCAGCCTTGAATCCTGAAATGTGTTGGAGAGATCCAGAGCTAAAAAGAACAAGCTAAGGCCTACTCAGACCACAGGATACTTAAGGAGAACATAGCTCAGACAACCAGTACACACATTTTGGAGGAGTTCTACCAATGCTGACCAATGCCAGGCTATTGCTAGTCTGAATTTAACTTTTGCCTATCAAATTCAGCTGGTGTTGCTTATTTAGATCCTTTTAGCTGCCGACTGATTATTTACCATTTACTAAATCTTACTGAAGCCCAGTTAAGGTTTCATCTTTTTTCACTCGCTGTTTCTCGTTTCAAAAAAACCCACCAAAAATCAGTGAAACTTGCATGATAGGTTCATGTTTCAGTTAGGTTCCTTTCCTAATATACCCTTACGTTTGTAGTATCTGGAAGTGCTGCATCAGATAAGAAAATTCATCCAGTTAAAAACTGCTTTTCAGTCCTCCCTTTCTCTTTTCTATACACAGAACACACACATTCGCAAAGTAGCATCATGTTAGTTTTACTAAGAGAAACCAGGAATGTCTATCAAAGGGATCTCTTTCCTGGAAAACAGTCATGGTCTTTGGACGATCTACCAACAAAAACTTTTCTACGCTTCACTATAACGTGACGTTGAGTACTTGTGTACTTCAAATCTTTGCAATGTATCAAAAGCCCAAACCAAAAAAATCTTCCCCAAACCCAACTACATTAATTCCAGTGAAAAAATATTTAATTAAAGATAAGATTTTAAAATTTCACTTACCTGGAACAAAGCTTCCCTGGACCACCTCCTTATAAGCCCACCAGCCTTCATGGATTTTTGGTGAATTTTGTTGAGCTAGAAAGAAATAATAAAAAAACCCCATAAAATTAAGACAAAGCAGGGGAAATATTTAATTACATGAACTCTGGAAACTCTAAACACAGTATCATCTTCTACAGAAGAGCCATTCCTCAAGTTCCCAAGTGATGTTTATTCAATTTATTGAATTATGCAACACATCTGTATCTTACAGGACCTTGCCCGTGTTTCTCAGACAGTAAAACATACTCAGCTTCTGAAGAGCTGATCACTAAACTTCAAAATTCAGGTAGACAATGAGGATCTATAGCACTATTGATGGTTTCTGTGCCACCCATAAATTCAGTAGGGGATAAAAATGCAGAGAAAAAGAGTGTGCTCGTATACAGTAGTTAATATCCGAGTCCAAGCTGAAAAGCAGTTTGTCCTAATCCTTTCCCAAGCTGTCCAGTTATGTCACTTTGAATGGGAAGGACTGACAGAGTGAACCACAGGCAATAGCTGTAGCTATGACTGCTTCTCCTCTCATACCATGTGCTCTGAGTTCTAAAATTGGAACAGAAACGCACAGCCCATAGCTTCACAAATACTGGCTCCTGCTGTAATGCTGAGGCAGGAATCTAAGTTTTTTCTGCTATCTTCTGCCTCCAGTGTGGCACCCACTACCTGTCCCTCACCACGGTCATCCTGGCGGCGATGTGAGACACTGGCTTCTGTTACGCACATGTGACACGCAACTCAGCTGCATTTGATCGCCCAGTGAAAGGTTTCTTTCACCAATATTCTGAAGGCTGTAACAATACAAGTCCAAGCTTTGGATAAGGTTTGCCCCTGATGAGACTGTCGCTTAAATGACTTCTCTAAATTCCTGAAAAGCCCAGAGCAGAAAGGTCTTTATCAGCCAGTTTGCTGCTCATAAGGTCATTACTTCTCTTTGTCTTGAAGGAAATCAGAACTAGAGAAAATGTTGTGGTTAAAATGTAAAATCTCTGTTGATTGGAAATACTTTCAAAGGGTATACAGACACATAGCAAGACAAACATGCAGTTGATTTCCATAAGATCGCAGATCACAGCTGATATATGCAAATATGTTCCACCTTCGCTTGTATTTTGCTTCATGTTTTCATATTCAGAGCAACTGTCTTTCACTGAGCTACAGAAAGCTCAGCTACCTTGTGTATCATCAACTTAAATTTTGGGTTGGTTTTGTTTTATACGGTACTTTCAATCTCTTGCACTAGGCCCAAGAACCTTTTAACATAAATATGCAGCTACAGAAGATGCTGGATTTAGCAGCTTTCTGCTGCAGTTTCATTTCTAGATCACATATTATACATGAAAGACACAATTACCCTGGGAAAAGTTCCAGCAATATAATAAAAATTGGTGTTGCCATTAAAAATTACAAAGAGCATGTGACATTCAGACTAAAAAGGATACAAGATGAGGACCATTACATCCTGTTCTATCAGTAATAAAACAATATTTATGATTGAACTGACTGTAAATTGCAGAAACAAAAGTAAAGCTGAAGTTAAACACACTGACAGAAGGACCAACACTCCGCTTACGAGAAATCCAGACACACTAGTGGAATGGGGTATGTGTGGATGCAGATTTCTCCTTGCAGCTCTGATGCTCATTCCATTAATTGAATGGTGGCCTGTTAAACTGAAAGGACCATTCCCCTGTGCACTCTTTACAGTTTGTATGTGACATTATCTTCATTATTTTAGCTTTTATGTCTTTGCCCAGAGAACTCAATCTGTGTATGACACTGTTGTGCTGGACTGCACTGTACAAACATTTGGAAAATGGCAAATCCCAACTCACAATCAAAATATGTGAGCAGCAAAACATTCATATCCAATCTGAACTGTAATTTTTTTGAATCTCAACCCTGTTCTATGCCTCTATGCTCTGTAATAAAAGTCCTTGAAGATTTCAGGATGTTTCAGCAATAGGAGAGGATACTAATAAGTGTGTCCCAACAAAGCACAGAAATCATTCTTCTACTTAAAATTTCCCAGAAAATCACATTGCATCAAAGTGCACCTTGTAGGAATATACACAGCTAAAGCTGGTCCAGCCAACCAGAGGCAACCTCATGTTTAAAATTAGGTGAATGCAGCATGTATGTAGATAAAGGCAAGTTAAGAAGATTTCAGGGGAGACGGGTATTTTCAAATGCAGCTGCCTACTGTCAGTATGCGTAGAAACACAGACATCGAAAAACGTGTTTCTTCTGCACACTCTGTGGCCAATCTACATGATACATGACAGGCCCAGAAGAAAAATGTGATTCGTTATTCAGAGTTTAAATTAAACCAAAACCAAAAGAGGCTGGCTCTGCACCTCTGCTTCACTGTGCTGCCCCAACACTTAGTCAAGCTAATTCCAAAAGGACTACTGGGGAAGCGAAGATTTTTGTCATATTTTTTCAAATCTGCTGCATTAGTATGGAACAGACTGCATGAGATGAGCAAGAAAACTAGATTATCAAAGCTTTGTACTAAATAATTGGATGCCTGTGCAATAGCTTCAGCTACCAGAGAAGAGCACGACCTTGCATCACTCTGCACGTTTAACAGATAGCAGATCCTTATCTCTTCAATACACGTGAAAATAAAAGACATGAAAAAGGAGAACAGTAAGCAAAATAAGATGATGTACTGTAACCGTATAAAATATCTAAGACAGGGCAAGAGCAACCCTGGGAGTACTGCTGATTTACAGAAAGCCAAGGCTGCTGAGGAAATCGAGACGAAAAGCAGGTGGTGGTTGTGAGAGAGCAGCTAGGGAGACAATCCCCAGTGCCGTGCTCTTTCTTGAACCCTGAAACCTCAATGTTTTATACCAGTCCAGGCAAAACATCCTGCAAAATAGTGCAGAGAGTGACTGAACACAGATTTCCACTCTGCTGTTCATATGAAATCTAGCTTAGTGCCAAAGATTTACTCTGATGGATCCTACAGGGACTTTGCTTAGAAAGGAAGAAGGTTTACAAAGCTCTTAGTTCTCTGAATGCAGAAGGAAGGGGTTTGGCAAGGCCAGGGAGGAAAGTTTGTCTTCCAAAACTTTTCCGAAACCATTACTGCAATCGATGTTACACAAGTGGGCAAGACGTCTTAGTAAAGGAGAAAAAAGTTGTTCTCTATTTCTGAGACATAATCAGATCCATACCTGGAGTAGTTATGGAACAAAGGAATATAAAATTAGAATGAATAGACATATGGACAATCCTTGCTGGGAATCCTATCTGGGACACTTACACCCGATGCACATACAACACAGAGCCTCTAAAATTGGTGTATCAACGCCCATCTGACAGAATGGCACTGTGCCTGGGTAAACAGGTTCAACCTTATGGCTCAGGAATTGTTGCCAAGGAAAAGGATTCTTTATATGTGCCATCTCATGACACTGAAAATAGCGAAATTCTCTCAGTATCCTTCTTTTTTCAGTTAAATTATTGTACCTCCCATTGCAATTCTCCCACTTGAGGACCATAGACAGGGATATGAACGCTTGCTTTGTGGACTCTGATACTCCTGTGTTGAGGGACATGCATGCTTGCTTTGTGGACTCTGATACTCCTGTGTTCCTACCTGAATACTGCAGCTTCTCCATGGCAGCTTCTTTTTTTTAGCATGACCTGTCACATAAGATACTGAGGAGGCTTGCAGCTTCTCCATGGCAGCTTCTTTTTTTGGCATGACCTGTCACATAAGATACTGAGGAGGCTAAAGGTCTAGAAAGCAATTCTGTATTCCTAAAGAGGGTTAAATATCTAAACCAAAAATTCCTTGCTGACACCTCAGAGACTTCTGCTTTCACCACTAAAACCTAGAGTACACCTTTTGCTTCCAAGAAATATTGTTGCTTCTGCAAGGCACCAAAATAAACAGGCCAGAATAGACACTTTACTGTTAAGAGCAGATTACCCCCACAACTAGCTCTGCAGCAGCAATGTTATCACCAGCACTGCATTTTGCCATTAGTAAGGACGGTCCAAAATGCCACGATTGTCCAAAGTGCTGGAGGATATTGAATGACCTCCATTTGCTGGAGCATTCTCTCCCTCAGTACTGAAACCAGTAGTATCTGAGATGAGTAGCTCTGCTGATAAAACACCATGATGTCAGATCTCTTTCAATGCAGCTGCTGTAGAGGAGACAGGATATTTATTTGGAGCTGATATGACACGTGTTGCTTTCATTTTGTCAGATTATTGTAGGTCTGTCTCATTGTGGAGCATAAAATTACAAGCTAAGTTCTGCAAGATGTCATGCGTTTCCGATTCCTGGTGACTTCCATGAACAGAGTAATAGCATTATTCAGGATTATAAAAATATATAGTAAACGCAAACAGCAAAAGATGCCAATGCCCCATAAAGTCATCAGTTAGCTGTATCTAGCTTAGAGGTTAAGATGAGGAGGCTTTTCTTTCAAAAAGAAGCTGCTGCTCAGTCAGTAAAACCATTTTAAAATCATCAGATAACATTGTATCAGATACTGAGTACAATGATGCTGATGCTCAAATTTGCAGCGCAGAGGTCTTCAACTTTCTGGGATGCTAACGCTGACATAATATAAAATGCTGTAATTAATACAAAATACCCCTCAGTAAATATTATTTGCAAGACATAAACAAGACATTCTACAATTACTTATTTACTTTCTATACTTAAATAAAAGATAAAAAGGCTTGTATCTGATGCCATCACTTACGTTGTTCACATCTGAGCTTAAGCCAAGAGTAACATCCTGCCAGATCGGAATTCTCCTTTCGTTTTACTGCCATTTCACACAGATGAAAAATGCTACACTGTGGAGAATCGGGCTCACAGCAGTCAGGAAAAAAATCTTTTTTCATCTGAATTGTATTGATCTGAGCTTTTCTGTTTGCTATATTAATCACTCTGCATGCTTATCCTTATTCAACTTACATCCTAAGAGTCTTGCTTATGATAACCTGGCTAGTATTGCCCTGGCATTAAATATATAATAACGTTTTATCACTATTACCTCTTC